GTGACACTTGCTCTTCATGGTAGCTAAAGTAAATGTAAGAAATGATGAGCTAAAAGAGTTGAGTACAAAATTTCAATGGCAGCTCAGGAAGACAAAATCAAATGTTCTCGTGAAATGTACAAAGACCTAGAGTTAGAAAACCTATAAGGAAGAACACACACAGCGTATGGTAAACTGAAAAAAAATATTAAGAAAAAATTCAAACGTCAGGTTGCAATATTAAAATATTCTACGGACAAAACACTGAATTAGACAAGAAACCACCAAAGAAGATGGACAGAATACACAGACTCACTGTCTCAACAAGAACTAGTCAACATTCAGTCATTTCAGGAGGTATCAGATGAACAAGAACCAATGGTGCTGAAGGAAGAAGTTGAAGCTGCACGGAAAGCATTAGCCAAGCACAAGGCACCAGGACTCGATGGAACACCAAGTGAAATGTCTCAACAAGCTGATGAAGCTCTGGAAGCACTCGCTGGTCTAGGCCAAGACATTTGGAAGACAGCTATTTGGCCAGCTGACTGGAAAGTCCCATTTTGGTGCCCATTCTAAAGGAAAGTGAATGCTCAAATTACAGAACAACACCATTGCTATCTTATGCAAGTAAAATTTCTCTAAAGACCTTCAAACAACAGTTGCAGCAGTACATCGAAAATGAGCTGTCCGAGGTTCAGACCAGATTCAGAATAGAATGTGGAACAAGGTATACCATTGTTGATGTCAGATGGATCTTAGCTGAAAGTAGGGAATAGCCGAAAAAAAATGTTTGTGTTTCATTGATTATGCCAAAGCATCTAATTGTGTGGATCATAACATGCTATGGTTAGCCTTGAGAAGAATGGGGATTCCAGACCCTTCGTTGTGTTCATGTGGAACATGGATCAAGAGGCAGGTCTGAGCACAGAACAAGGGAAGACTGCATATTTTCAAATCAGGAAAGGTCACAGTTGTATCCTCTCCCCATACTTGGTCAATCTGTACCCTGAGCAGGTCATTCGATCATCTGAACTATATGAAGAAGAATGTGGCATCAGGATCGGAGGGATGCAACGTGTGGAGGACACAACCTTGCTCGCTGAAAGTAAGGAGGACTCGAAGCACTTGCTGATAAACATGAAGGACTGCATCCTTCAAGGTAGATTGCTATTCAACGTAAAGAAGATCAAAATCCTCACAACTGGACCAACAGGGAACATTGTGATAAACAGAGGAAAGATTGACGTTGGCAAGGATTTCATCTTGCTTGGATCCACAATGAATGCTCATGAAAGCAGCAGTCAAAAGATCAAATGACGCATTGCATTGGGTGAATCTGCACACAACTTTCAATGGTTACTAAGTTTAAAGTGTTGAAAACAAGGAGGTTATTTTGAGCACTGAGGTTTGCTTGACCCAAGCCATAGTGGGGCAGTCACATAATCTCCTGTCAGCCTGACCAAAGGGGTGGAGTCTAGCCTGTCAATCAGGTCATAGCCAATGAAGCCTCTGTGTGGGCGTGGCCTTCTCCTGAGGATTCGGGAAACTCCTGTCTTCCTCCCTGGAGGCTGGACACACTCTTTCTGTGAGACATTCCTGTTGACAAGCCAAAGGGAGCTATGCTGATGGAGCCAGAGCCCTGGAGCTGGAGGAGCCACATGAAGAACCACGCCAGCACTGATATGCTTCCACTACCACTGGATCTACAAGACTCTCCACCCACTGGCCTGTGATCCTCCTGCATTCTGCATCATGGCATGTGTTTCGTGTGTCTGAAGAGGATTTTATAGACTGATATTGAACATATGAACTAATATCGAACTTAGGGACTTGATCTGGACTGGGCTGGAATGTTTTCTTAATATACTATTACTCTGATATAAAGCTCTCTCTTACACACTTATGAGTGAACACGCATCGTATTTTCAATTACCTCATATGCATATGAAAGTTGGATAATGAGCATGAAGAAAAAATGCTGCATTTGAATGACAGTGTTGGTGACAAATCTTTAAAGTACCATGGACTGCCGAAAAACAAACATCTGTCCTGGAAGAAGTACAACCAGAATGTTTGTTGGGGTAAGGAGAGTAAGACTTCTCATGTACTTTGAACATGTTATCAGGAGAGGCCGGTCCCTAGAAAATGGCATCGTGCTTGGTAAAGCGGAGGGCAATGAAAGAGAGGAAGACCCTCACCAAAATGGATTGGCACAGTGGACTCCAACTTAAGAACCTTTGGAAGGATGGTGTTACTTTCTGTTGACACAGCGTTGCTATGAATCCGAACCACCTGGTTGACACCTAACAACAACGTCCTGAAGTTTAGGCATAGGTTCCCCTCAAGTTGATCCCACTCAGGACTGAATCGGACATCTCCACCCCTGAGTACCCAGGCAGGATCCATCTATTTACTTGGTTTCTTTCTCAGTTTTCTGCTAGACCTTGTAGCTTCAGGGCTTGATCAACTGACCCTGGCCTACAGCTCTCCCTCCCTCCCTCCATACACTTCATTTCAAGAATGGAGGCCAAAATCTGTGACCATATCCACCGTCTCTTTATATTAGAATACTCAGCACGAGACATTTCCATGCCTCGAGCTGTTTTTCTAGGGTTACAGGAGAGGGGAGTTCCCGGACCTTCTAGTTCCCACAGAGTCGGGGCCGCATTACCTCAGCCCTCCCTTCTCATGACCCCCAGATGGTCTCTAAGCCCCTCGAAAAGAGCACAGTTCAAGTGTCAGCATAGCAACCTATTAGACTTGAGATCGCGTACAGAGGGCATTATAGAGGGCATGAAGGAGTGAGCATGCTGTTAGTTCGGACATTAGCAATATAGCATTATAGGTTTAGTTTGTTGAAGATCCAAATTGTAACAGTCCCTTCCCTTATGGTAAAAATTCTTTTTAAGTTCAGTCAGTAGGAACCTTCTAACTCAGGAAGTCAGTAAGCCAGGCCGTTAAGAGAAAGAGCTAGGCACAAAGCATCCCTCATTGAGAAGCCTCAGAGGATGGTGGTCTGGTAAGACCAAGCACAGGAGCATCCCCAATGTAGATAATCAAGGTTGCATGAGACTTCAGAGGATGTAGATCTGTCTAAAGATCCCGAGATAAATGTAGGTATAGATAATTTCCTATTATCATTACAGAAGTAGTCTTCTGGGTCACAAAATCAGAATGTCAATTGTATCATATGATCATTGCAAGATCTGCTTTACTGGAACGTAGTTGAAGGTACACGGCTTGCTTGATTTTCACTGGATATTGGAAGCAGTTTGGAGGCAGCAAACCCACCGTTTCTCTCTGTCTCATGCTTCAAAATAAACTTAAAAGTTTCTCGAATCAACCTGGCGTCTCTTTGACTGACACAAGGACAGGCAATCCCAGACCCTTATTTCCTGGAATGCGGTATGGCAGGCTTAGATCAAAGTCCCTCAGAGACACAGGATGAGATTGTCCCCAACATAAAACAGCAAGGACACAGCCATCATAGATTGCCTGTTGGGGGCTAGAGCTGCTCCAAGCCTGAGCGAAGACATCCACAGCCCTTGGATTAGTCACAGCACTGAAGAGGAGGAGAAGGCACAGTGCTGGGCTGTGCCTGGCTGGGAGGCTGGAGTTTCTGGTTTAGAAGTTCAGGAAGGTCTGAGGCAGGGGAGGGGCCTCTAAATCAAGAGGGCGGGAAGCCAGGACAGAGCCCCAGTCAGCTATGCAGTGCTGCGCAAGCAGAGGCCGCACCGAACAGAAAGGGCATCTGAAACTCAGGGCTGAGGACCTGCAGCTCTGACCTCCTGAGCTACCACTCCTGCGCCAAGGGTTCTAACTCCAGCTGTCCTCCTGGGACCTCTGCTCCTGGAGCCACGGGATGGAGCCTCTCCTAGGAGTCAAACTCGGCTGCCTCTTTGCCCTGTTGGCTCTCACCCTGCTCTGTGGCCTCATCCCCATCTGCTTCAAATGGTTCCAGATTCATGCAGCCACAGGTACAGCCCTCCCTACCCTGTCTTTGTCCCCCTCTCCACCTGACCTACACCCTATGGATAACCCCAGAGGTGGCATCCTGAGGACCTCCTGCCCCTCCTCAACCACCTTTGCCTGTTTCTGCATTGCTAATTGCATTGCAACTTGGGCTTTTCCTTAGGCCGCCATCGCAGGGTGCTCAGTCTCCTGGGCTGCGCTTCTGCGGGAGTCTTTCTGGGAGCAGGGCTCATGCACATGACCGCTGAAGCTCTGGAGGCCATTGAATCCGAGATCCAGAGTTTCCTGGTCCAGGTGAGCAGCAGAGAGGCTGACCTGTGGGGCTATGAGACCAGGGGGACAGACAGCTGCAGGGGAAAGGGGCGGGTGATGATGGAGCCAGGGGCACAGGTGAAACCAGATGGAGGTGACAGCTCCTGTGTGGGATGAAGAAAGGAAATCTGACGGGGCTTTGAGTTTTTCACAGTGTATCTGGTATGTCATTCCCAGTTCGTCAGGGTAATTTAACCCCTAAGCCATCATCAGGGGTCCGGTAGGTGCAATTGTACAGCGATGATAAGTAAAGATTATAGTAAAGTCATAAAGAGCATGAGAGATAGAAGAGAGATAGAAATAAGGGAGTCAGGCACAATTCATGGTAGCTCACCTCACCCTCACTTGGTGGTCCACATGCAGAAAGAAGGAGGGGAAGGAGGACAAGGGGAAAGGGAACAGGAGAGCGAGGATGGGAGAGGAGAGGGGGAGCCAATGAGAGGCCAAGGGAGGAACCCGAGAGCTCTTTATTGCTAACCCAGGCCTATATAACTCTGGGGGGAGTGCAAGCCCACCAATTACAGGTAAAGACACATGTCACAGGAAGGGGTTGCACTATAGGTTATACAGCAATGAGAGGGGGACATTCTAAGGATAAACACGCAATAGGAAGATGAGGGATTGGGGGCACACATGTGACAAGATGGGCGGATCCTAGATTCAGGAGGGCAGCCTAACTTTGGATGTCACTGAGCAGGTTTGACCTGGTCTCTGGATCTCCATAGACACCATTATCAGTAGGGTGTCAACCCCACCTACAGGAGCCAAGCTAATGGTCGCAAGCCTTTAGGGAGAAGTAGCCCATTTTCCTTAGCAGCAAGGAGCAGACCTGCCCGTGGTGGGATTAGACAGTAGTCTGTCTGGCAGCTGACTGCCGTAAGAGAAGTAACATGACAATCATTTACCATTAGCTGCAAGCAGTGTTCTAAGTCTAACATATATTTGGGGGAGACAATTTGGGAGAAATCTTTCTGTTTCCCACACCAGTTCAGCGATTTAAATATATTACGAAGAATTATGCAATGAGAGGTCACCATCGTCAGCTTGGGAACGTTGTCTTCATTCTTGTTCTGTGGGCTTTGAGGACAGCCATGGCGATGAGGGGGCGCGGCAGGACATGATGCTACTCTATCCCCCAGCTCACTGCTACTTCTCTCGCCCTAGAACAGGACAGAAAATGAGAGAAATTCACCTGAGCTTGCTGATTCCGCTCAGGTGAGCACTCCCCCAGGGCCCCTCCCTAAGGAGTTACATGACACCCATCATGTCTTGTGCACTCCCTTGGAAGGCTTTCTGAAGAATCCCAGGAACTCCTTCCCTTTCCCACCTCAGGCATTGCAGCCAAAGGAGGAGCGACCCCAATCCTTTCAGGATCCCGAACTTCGACTTTGCTCCTTTGGTCTCCCTGGGTCCTGGGTCCCGATTTCTACCTTTCTTGATAAGGACATTCTTTTTGCAATGTTTTCATCTATCCCTGCCTTCATTTCCTCTTCTTTTTTTTTTAATGTCTTGTTACCACATTTCCCCTTCTCATCAATTTCTCCATCCCGTGCCCATCCAACGTCCTTCCTGCCCCCTCTCACAGCCTCTTTCTGTCTCCAGGTGGACTACCCCTATGGAGAACTCATCATCTCCCTGGGCTTCTTCCTGGTCTTCCTGCTGGAGTCCCTGCTATCGCAATGCTGCCCTAAGATGACTGGGCCGTCGTCAACCGTGCAGGAGGAGGAATGGAATGGGGGGCACGCCTTTGAACTCCACAGCCATGAGCCTCTCCCCTCACCCTCCCAGGGTCCCCTTCGAGCCCTGGTCCTCTTGCTCTCGCTGTCCTTTCACTCGGTGTTTGAAGGTCTGGCTGTGGGGCTGCAGCCAACAATGGCGGCGACGCTGCAGCTCTGTCTCGCTGTCCTGGCTCATAAGGGGCTCGTGGTGTTTGGTGTCGGACTGCGGCTGGTACAGGTAGGCACCGCATCGCGATGGGCCGTGTTCTCCATACTGGCATTGGCTCTGATGTCCCCTCTGGGCATCGCTATAGGGCTGGCAGTGACTGAAGGGGGCTCTGAAGGAGGGCAGGGTTTGGCCCAGGCAGTCTTAGAGGGAGTAGCAGCTGGCACCTTCCTGTATGTCACCTTCCTAGAAATTTTGCCCCGGGAATTAGCTTCTCCTGAGGCCCCTCTGGCCAAGTGGAGCTGTGTGGCTGCTGGTTTTGCCTTCATGGCCTTCATTGCCTTGTGGGCATGAGGGATTCCTGCCTCTTCTGGTGGACTTATGTGGAATGACCTGCCTACTTCCAGGGACACCTCCCCATGGCTCTGGCT